TATATATACCTTTTTCCATCCTTTTTCCATCTGGATTTGATTTTACATCATTAATATTCATGACTTTCCTTTCATTACTACCTGAAAGTGCATTCATACGACTTCACTGAATAATGATAGGATCCAGTATCTCATCTCTCACTTAAAGGACTGCGGTTCATACAGAAATGTGCATGTTTATGTGATCATCAATGTTCCTATGTGTAAATGTTGATTTTATTGTTTTAATCTCCAAATTCCTATATGTTTATTATTTTCATAGTGCATTTCCTTGATGYGATATAATTATAGCAGCAATAAAAATAAAGATTTATGTCTTTTATTCACCTGCTTGGGAAGAGATACGATCTTCATCTGCCGTAAGCACACTGAGTGTGCAGGAAGCTTGGTGATGAGCACATATGGTGAGGGGAAGATAAATGAGTCCTGAGAAACATGGCTGGTGACAAGTTACTGCCTCCGGTTGTCACCTTCAGGTAGCATGGGGTTAATAGGGTTATGGCGGGGAGGGCAACCCTCTTCTCTCACATTTTCAGCTCTTGGGACACAGTGGGACCTGGCTGTGTGGCATCAACTGCTGTAGCAGAGCATYAATCATACCCCGAGCCTCTCACTTTGGTCAGAAAAGCATCAGTATTACAGAGAAGGTGGCCATATTGGTGGAATAACAGCAAATGCTTTTGTCTCATTTCTTGAAAATTAGGGGATGTATTTGTTCTGTCGATACGGACACAGAGAGAGAGAATGTGAGAGTTGCACTTTCATGCTGGAAAAGCAGTCATCTGGTGTGACTGACAGCTGGGGAGTGGGCAGAGCGTAGATTCACCTTCATCACCAGTGGGAAGTGAGTCAAAGGAGCGACAGATTCCTTCACACTTGTGCATCCTTTCCCACAGGCGTTGACCCTCATGGTAGCTGAGCAGATTGCACCTCTCTGCATAAATTTGAAACCTAACAAGTCTGAAGATTGAATGAGAGAGAGTCGGTGAGGAAAGGCTTTCATGCTGCCTCCATGCAAATTGAAGCTCTTGTTTGGGGTAAATGAATGCCACAATTGTGGTGTGCTTTAGAAATCAGGCCGAGCCTTAGAAAAAGTAACGGCACACAGCACAGTTTGTGAGTGAACCTGTTGTCCACAAGCAAAACCACATTTATTTCTGTTTTTAATGTCACCTTACAGATTTTTCACCTAGATAGTGATGCCCTCTTATGGGGTGCCATTTGTGATGTTACACAGTCAAAAATTACCACCAGTATTTTTGTTTTATTTTGGCTTCTATAAGAAAAAAAAAAACAGATTTATTTTTTAAAGTCAGTTTTTCACCATGTGATTCATACATTTACAAATGTCATAGTTTATAAACTAAATATTTTACTTACAAATTAAATATTTAGTTAACAAGCTAAATATTTAACTTTAATATTAAATATTTAGTTAACAAAGCTAAATATTTAGCTTGAAACTTAAATAATTAGCTAGCTACCTAAATATTTAACTTAAATATTTAGCTAGCTACCTAAATATTTAAGTTGCAACTTAAATATTTAGCTAGCAAGTTAAAATTTTAGCTAGACACCTAAATATTTAACTTAAATATTTAGCTAGCTACCTAAATATTTAAGTTAAATATTTAGCTAGCTACCTAAATATTTAGGTTGCAACTTAAATATTTAGGTGGCTAGCTAAATATTTAAGTTTCAAGCTAAATATTTAGCTCAAAACTAAATATTTAATTTGTAAGTTAAATATTTAGTTTATAAACTATGACATTTATAAATGTATGAATCATATGGTGAAAAACTGACTGAAAAATAAGTCTGTTCTTTTTTGTCTTATAAAAGGCTAAATAAAACCAAAATACTGGTGGTAATTTTTGACTGTGTAACGTTACAAACGGCACAGCATACCCTCTTCTTATCCAAACACATTTGTCAGTGATAAAAAGTGAGTATGTTGAAAGAGGAAACAATATTGGTGAGGTTAGTTTGATTTTACGGTCTTGTGGATAATCACTGAATTTAGTATACTCTTTAATGACAAATTAATTGTGCGTGCTCACTCTTCCACTATTACAGTTTTTATTTTTGCTTTTGCCAGTTGATTGCTTCAATATGACATATCTGCTCTCATCAGTGTAGAAAATAGTATTTTTAGCAATTAGGTGTTTTAAATGCATACTGTGTGGGTCTTCAGTAGCAAGAAACTGTGGTCTGACAAACTACAAGACATATTTGTAGCTGTTAAGAAAGGTGCAACAGCACATCATTTTTTGGCGATGGTGAAGAGCATGAAGGCGATTGAATTGTGAAGTTAAACGCCTAATAGACTAAGCAAAAACAAACATAGTACATTTTACTTTTTCTTGTTTTTATACCAACTATAATTTGGAAATTTTGTTTTAATTTGGTCCTCAAAACAATCCAGTGTTATAAAACTACATGACGGCCACATGTACACAATCCACCAGAACTCAGAACTCACCAGAACAGAATAAGTGTTTTGGGTGGGGGGTCCAGAGGGGGTGAGGGGTGTCCATTGGTGGGTCTGTTGGATAGCCCTTCATAAACAAGAAAAATCTGAGGCTCCTATGTTGAATAGTTTTTGAGTTGCAAGCATTATTGTATGTCCAAACACCCCCTTTATTAGATGGAGCCCATTGTAAAACAGTTGGCTGGCTCAGTGTAGGTCGGACACAGCTACATTTCTGCCAACTTTCATGTTGATCGGTGCAGCCCGATCAACATTAATGAATAATTAAATAAACAGTACAAAACAAATATGATTCCTTCTTCGCCTGGGGGGTCATAATAAAAACAGATAATCAAAAATAATATAAAAAAAAATCCCTGTTTATCACACCGATAGACAGAAATAGACAGGAATAACTTTTAAAAAAGATTAAATAATTTATTTTTCTATTCTGTTCTCTTTGTCGTGTTTGTCCATTTTTAGAGTAAAACTCTGCAACATAATGAAATCCCCTCCTTGTGGCTTGAAATGTTAATGAAAACCAAGCACACTGACACATATACCAAGTCAAGCTGAGTGACATTTATAGAACAAAATATTTCTACATGTTTCTTCTTTAAAGGTGGTAAAAATAAGCTGTGTGTACATTTCTGCTGTAGGGCATACACATCATAAAGTTACAACACTGAGCTTCTGGTCCCCAGACAATAAGCTTACAGCATAAAAAAAAAGTACAGAGAAATCTTCTGTAAAATTCTTGCCTCGGCTTCTCTTCCTCATATTGTCCTGAGCATAGATGCAGGTGGCCAATAATGTCCTATTAAGCATTTTGTAATATAACAGAATGTATTAACAGTGAATAGCAGCTGCTAAGCAAAGCGGAAATTGAATGCTCTGCTCATCAGTCAGTGTTTTGCCATATGGCATATCATATGGCATATCAAATAATGCCTTTTATGGATTCAATATTCACATTGGAATCCAAGCATTGTATTTCATTTCCTCACATTTCATAACAGCGTTAAAAGCTTTCCTAATAAAAACATGGGTTTTAAAACGTGATTTAAATATTATAGCTGGATATCTGCATAGAGTGATCTTTATTTTCCCTTTCCCGTTTACAAATCTTTTTTTCTTTCCTTGAGTTAGACTTTCTATGGCAAATTATTTGCATGATTGTAAGGCTTCTTGTGTGAGTACCTGAGCCCTTCAATCTGGTCTTAAAAATCAACTGACCCGCATTGTTTCGCCTCATCCATCTGTCACTTTACACCACTGTCTCCTGACAAGCCTGACCGGGACAAATTACTGAACAAAATATGGCATCTCCTAACCACAAAGAGAGAAAAATGAGATCTGCTCAGGTGCTCCTCGCTCTGTCACCGTAAGAAAATGGGAAACGCTGAAAAAAGATCTCTTCTTGCAAATGAAGTGGAAAAGTGTCTTTGTGGCAAAAGTCAATTGAAATTTCTTCAATCAGTGGTAAAAAAAAGGGCACATTCATGCCTGAAAATGAGTGCGGCAAAGTACTTTAAAGCTATTTAGCAGAATCAAAATGAGCTTTACTCTATTTTAAATTCCTTTTACATTCGCAAGTGGAATTGATTATGTAAAAGAAAAAGAAAATCTTTATTCTAAAAGAAAAGAAGATTCATTTACATTTTGCCAAGAAAATCTTTGGCTTATCAGATACTCAAAAAGAAAAAAATCAGTAGGTCCTCTGGATGGGTTCTTCTTTAGTGAAACGTTTCGTCTCTCCTCCAAGAGACTTCTTCAGTCTGATAAGTTTCAGCTGAACTCAGCCTTATAAGCACTGCCTCCACATGGACAAACAGGTTAGTCACATGCAAAAGAGGGCCATCGCCTAACAATAGGCTTAATTAGCTCTATTGTTCATAGATGGTCGTGTGCCCAATCACCTGACCCGTGTCGTGTTGTGTGAATATAGTGAGTGCAAGCGGGGGTTCAACGTCCCCTTGTTTTTTTCTCGTTGAACCCCCGCTTGCACTCACTATATACACATAACACGACACGGGTCAGGTGATGGGGCACATGACCCTCTATGAAC